AAAAGCAAAATCAGGACTGTGGGCTTAGTGGTCATTAAACATTTGTTGAAACTACTTTAGAGTTGCTAATTTTCACTCTGCCTCTGCCAAATTTCACTCAGATAAATGCATAATGGCACAGGAACACTCTAGGGAAGGAGAATGGAGTTTGGCAAATAAATTCAATGTGGTCCTCTTCATGTATAGCCCCCTTGGCAGTTTTCAATGAGAAGATGTAGCACTTTGCTTCTTGAAGTTATGCAAAGGCTACTAAGTCCTGCTGAAGAAGCTGGTGTCTTTTCAGAAAGGGACATCATTTTCCTGGCTCTTTTATATTTCTGGAGCACTTGTTAAGTTCAATTAGCTAATAAACTATAGTGTTTTTCAAAGTCTCATAGTAAAGAATAATGTTACAAATTACTAACCACAGTTAATTTTTTAAATGTTTAAAGTATTTGAAAGGAGGCTGTAAGAATATCTTTCATCTTCATGTGCTAATCCGTCCTCAAACTTTCAAAATGTAAATCAAAATAATAATTTACCTTAGATAAACTTCATGTAAAAGTCAGAGAAAGATCTGTATAATGACAAGGAACTAAAATGTCTGCTTTTAATGATCATGGTAGTGTTTCTGTAAATCCATTGTCAAACTACCTAATAAGGTAAAATAAATAACTGAATGCTATTTGCAATTTCTAAATAACATCAGTCATTACCAACTGCCTCAGGCTTTTCTACATGATTGAATAATTATCCTTTAATCAGTACAGTAATGAAGAACTGCCCTTTATAAGTTTTGGATATTTAGATCCAACTTTATTTCATTAGGTTTATCTCTAAATCAGGGCAGGCAGCTGTCTCTTATTGAAAATAGGGAATGTTTCTGTTTTAAACATGAAGTCCACAGCGAACGTTCTATGAAAAATTGTGGACTTAATTGCTAGGTCTGGGCTGTAAGTCCAAAAATGCAGAATTGGTTAATAGGAAATTCTTTTCCAGCCCTTGAACTAAATCCATCAGATTTCACCATTAATAAAGAAAAATCCCATCATTATAAACTTCTTTGGTTTTTGGATGGCTGCCAGAACTGGAAAGGCAAAAACCAAACTTAAGGCTACCTTAAGAGTAGGTCTAAGTTCATAGACTTCCCTGAAAATTCTGATAGGTATGCAATTACAATGTTGGTTTGAGAGAATAATATATTTACAAGTAGAAAAATGTTCTGCTTTAAGTTCAGAAGAAAGTCTGATAGAATCTGAAAATGGTGTCAGACATATTTGTTGGCATCAGAAACCAAAAGAAGCAAGAACTTGTAGCATTCTGGTAGTGCACACAGAATGCTGCTTAGAAGATGTCCCCTTCATCACCACCCATCCCCGCTCAGTATATGCACCTGCCTGCATGCAGTATTTTTTTAAATATTCTTTTTTACTTTTTTAGAAGAATCATGTCATTACAGCTTTAACATACTCAATAACAGTTTCCAGAGCAAAGATACATCTCTTTCAAAAGTGGCTATAAAAATTTTAGGTTCACTGTTGAATAATACAGTTATACAATATCAAACTCAGTATAAGCCCGGTAAGACATAAAATGGAATGAGTTTTTAACCTTTAAAAAAGACCTCCATTTCATTTTAAAATATACTGTTTCTTACAGAAAGACTCATTGTTTCTGCTAATAACACTGAGATGTTGGTGCATGTGTCTCTAATCTGAATGTATCTGATTATTACTAGTCATAATTGGTTGCACTTGGATCCTTGGCACCTGTGTATATCTATAAAGTCATCAGGTAGATTTCAGTGGTAATGTTTTAAGAGTCCATATGTATACTTAAAGGCTACATAACAAGCAACAATGCCAGATAGGAGATACCTTCTTTTGCATTATTGGCCAGGGTGTCCCAAGGACTCCCAGATAGTAACCCAGCACAGAACTGAGAAAATGAACAGCAGACCCCAATCTTATCTAAAGGAATATTGACAACTGATTGCTGCTAGATGAGGAAGAGCTGACCTTCCTAAAACAAAGACCTCTAGACAAGCTGACTAGATTCGCTGGATGTACAAGTAGTGGGGAAGGGCTGGGAGTGCCACCAACACATCAAACAGTAGCAGGGATATCAGAGTATAAGGGCTCTAGTGGGGGCAGGGAGGCTATGGGAGGGTGCCATCTGGGAAGTGTGTGTATAGTTGAATAAGATGGTTTGGGATGTTCTGTGTGATATACACACACACAAAAAATCAACAAATTTAAAAAAAGAATTATATTTGAGGAGGAAGCATAAAAATTTATATCATGCAGCATTTTTTAATGTTAATAAATATATATTCTGAATACTGGGAATGGAAATTATCCCTGGGGGAGAGAAACTGTTGTGATCAGATGGAAATGAAAGCAAAATCAAGTTTGGACTAAAGTCCTACACTACACATAACACACTGCAGGTGTGGTTTCCATTCGTGGTAGCAGCAGTCCAGCAATTTCATATACACCTGCTCAGTTCTGCCTGTGTCTCAGTCTCCGACACCTTGGTGAAAAGCACTTCTGTGGTATCTTACTAGTCACCATGCATTTAACTGTAAGAATGTACTTTTACTATATAAGAGGAGGGTGACAGGCATCTCTCTGCCTCTAACATCTCCACTGCTTATTAAGAAAGGATTCTGAAATCAGTCGGTCTTTCAGTCAAGGCCAGATCCTTTATGAAATGCAAATACTGACTGAAAGAAGACAAATGCAATTTGGAACATGTGATTAAGCCTGGGGTTAAACAGTGAGACTCACAGGGCAAAATGTTTAAGGATCTGAGATTGCACATTTACTTAAATTTGGGGCCCTGGGTGTTCATTGGCTTCATCTTGGGACTGGCTCTGCCTGAGGTATAAGTGCACAAGGACACTCTGGACTGAAGGACAGCCTGAACACTGACAAGGAACAGGAATTCAGAGGACTGTTTATTCACAGAAGGGAGAATGTAAGAGGAGACAAGGAGAAAAATTGAAAAGTAAGGTCATGGAAAACAAACTACGTCATCTATAATGTTTTTCATTGGGTCTATAGTTAGAGATGATAAAGTGGGACAAGCTAGATGATCCAGTGGGTACAAGTGCTTGCTACCAAGCTAAGCCTGAAGATCTGAGTTTGATCCCCTCGACTCATGTGCTGGAAGGAGAGAACCAACTATTATAAATTGTCCTTTGACCTCCACACATGCGTTGTGCACTTACAAATGCACACATACACACACACACACACACACACACACACACACAATCCCCTCCCCACAAATAGTTGTAATAATAAAAAAGTTTTTAAAAAGATATTATAGTCTCCAAAATGGTTTATTTCTTAATATTCTGCATATTATCTTGCATTTTCCCTTTTCAATACTCATTTGTATTTGCTTTAGGCATTTCTTATTTAAACCAAAAGCTATCAAGTGCAAAGACCTCAGTCAATAATGAAATACTATTTTCTGTTTTCTCAACAGTGTTGAAGCCTAATACACACTGAACAAATAACTGTTTAATTGATGAAACTGGGTCATATTGGCCCTACTTGTCCAACTGGAAAAACATTTAGAGTGTTTTGATCTATTTTGATCATGTTTTTCTATTTTTTTCTCTTCCAATATGGATAAGAAAGAAAGCAAAAACATTTAATTAATCTTACAAAATCTTGAGCACAGAAAAATATACTTGAACTCAATCATGTTTATTAAAAAAACTTAATCTCATTTTTCTGGTTGAGTTTTGAGAATCTTTATCGATTCTGTATTACAAGTCCTTTATCAGATATGTATTTCAAAAATATTTTCTCCCCAACTGGGCTTGTCTTTTTGTTCTTCTAACAATGCCTTTCAAAGAAAAGTTCTTGATTTTATTAAATCTAATTTATCTTTGCTTTGCTTTCGTGGATTGTGCTTATTGTATCGTTATCTAACAAAATCTTTGTTTTTCCAGGATCACAAAGATTTCCTATGTTTTTCTACTAAAAGTTTTTGGTTTAAGTTTTTACACTACACAAAAGCTTATGCTTTATTTTTACTTTGTCATATAATATATGAATTGTGATTCTATCTTTTACATAGATACTAGTTTCTCTATTACCTTTTGTGGAAAAATATTGTTAATTTTCCACTCAAGTATCTTTGTACTTCTTTCAAAAATAAGTTCTCCAGAAGATAGCTGAGTGTCTTACTGGATTCTTCACTCCCTTTCTTCTGTGTGTCTTTACCTTGGTCAATGCTCTACAGTTTGATTATTGTACGTGACATGTCTTAAAAATAGGGCAATGCCATTCTTCAAACTTTGTTCTTGTTTTTCAAAATTGTATTGCTTATTCTAATTCCTTACCCTTTGCTTACAATTTCAGAATTATAATTCCTCCAAGACGTTGATTGGAATTTTGATAGGGTTGTTATGGAATGTCAGTTAAGCTTGCTTTTAAGTTTTAGAGTTCACATAGCAAATACAATTCTAATAAGAGGACAGCAGCTTCAGATAATGAGAAAGCTACCATGGATTTTAAGTATGCACTGATCAAACAGAGATATTTAGCTTCCTACCACTGATCCTATAAATCCTAGGAATGCAGGAATGTTGACTGACTAGAGTTACTGATGACCCAAAAGGTAAAGGAGTTATGCAGTCCCTCCTGTGTAAAGGAAATACTCAATACCAATTATACTCAAGGGAGATAATATTACAGCTGTCCTTTGTTGTCAAGCTTTTCACAAAATAAAGAATGAATCTGGCAAAAGGCCTATTCACCCATATTGATGCTCTTATACACAGAATCATTTCAAGGTTAAAAATCTCCTGTCTGTCTCACATCTAAAACACGCAATTTCTGAAATGCCCAGGAGCCTCATCTTAAGCAGCAAGGCTAACCCTCATTAATCATCAACACAATTGTCTGGCAGTTTTCAAGCATGTCTCCACAATGCCCACTTGCTCCATGTGATTAGTTAGCACAAAACATTTAAAAGTATTTCACCTGGGTAAAGATCTGTACCTGGTTGGCTAGTCAGTCCTGGGAGAGAGTCTTGCAGCTGGTAAGTTGATGCTGATGATGAAGTGCTGTCAGCTGTGTTGTTTGATGTCATATATGCCCCATAGGTTGATGCTGAGTAATACTGTGCATATTGGTTTTGGCCAAAGGCTGTGTAGGATGGGTAATCCTGAAACAGATAAGAGGGATATGTATGTCTAAAAATCACCCTCTATTATAATTACAAACAAATGAACACAATCACCATGGTAGCTGAGAGATTAGTATTCAGCTCCATTTATTTGTGAGTCTATGGCTTTGTGATGATTGTAATGAGTATAGACGATCTTTTGGGTATGCAGGAATATTGGCTGGCTAGAGTTACTGATGACACAATAGGTAAAGGAGTTATACAGTCCTTCCTGAATAAAGGAAATACTACAAAATATACCCAAAGGAGATACTATTACAGCAGCAATTAATTCCTCTATCAGTTTTGGAAGCCAGGTCTAGTACATGAACTTAACCTTACTAAAGGTTGCATATACTTCATTTTGTTCTACATAATTTCTTATCTGAGGATTTACACCATTCATATTATGCACCGGAAGAGGAAAGAGATTGAATCAGTTAATTTTCATTTAGTCCGTTCATATACATTTTCTAATACCACCACCAAGAGGGCTGTGCTCCCTCCAGCTGCTTCATAGACCTGAATATACATTAACAGTTTATTTCTCTTCCAGGCCCTGCTTGATGATTTGGTTATCTTGTCAAGCATCACAGAGTAAAGGAACACAAATTTCCTCGCCTCTCACAATCTACCTACTTTTTGAGGCTTGACTTAAAAGTCTCCAGTGAAGTTTTTCAAATGTTTAGTTTTTCTCCTTTGTTGTAGGCAAAACTGAACATTGAACCAATGCCTCTGATGTGCTTTTTACTAAAAAATACCCAGAGTCTTAAAATGATAAAAATGATCCTTCTATATTATTTCACATATTAAGATGATGAATAAGGACTTGTGATAAATGGTGTTTAATATATCTACCATGTTTTAGCCACGAATGTTATCAGTGATGACAAATCTTTGGTCAGGAGGATGATTCCCTGTGGTGATAAGTTCTGAAGGGAACAAAGGTCCACATTTGATGTTGTTTCCAAAAATGAAAATTCTCTGTATGAGTAAATATGTGTATTACCAGAAAACATTAAGTAGTACAGCAGAAAACTACAATTCTATTAGTCTGTTCATTTTCAGATCTGCTGTTCCCCATCACAATCTGTGAGCCAACTAGAAAAGTTCAATATTTGTACAAAGGTCTTAGCAAAGGCTTTTTCTCAGAGTAAAAGAGTAATGACAAACACCGAATGCTGGCTTTGGGTCCAGGCTCTGTCTTAAGAACCTAAGTAGACTTGCCTATTCACCATTCAGAGCCTTCTCTGTAGCACCATTAGTGTCATTTTACGTAAAAATATTCTAAGGCACAGAAATTTGAATGATTTCCATTCCAGTCTCACAGCCATTGAGATTCTGAGCAGGAACTGTAAACTGGACAGTCGATTCAATCTTTGTGTCAAATTTCCATTGGCTGCCACTGGCCTAAGACACAAAGGGAAAAGCCCCCTCCTGGCTTCTGGGAAAGATGATGTCCTTTTGCATCCTGACATTTCTCTGATATATCTCCTTCTCTACATCTACTCCTATCACCTTACTTGTTATCTTCATTCCTTGTTGCAGTACTATATTGGTTTTCCTACTTATTTGCTGTTCATTTATACCTCCTTCAGAATGGTCTTTTCAAAACACAAATTATATTGCATTTTCCAGTTCAAAAATATTAATGACTTCCCACTGGTCTCAAGACTATAGTTAAAACCCTTCTTATAATACACAGGGTCCAACACAAGCAGGCCTCCCTTACTTCTTTAATAGTGTCTTCCCATGTCCCCTCATGTATGAACTGAACTCCAGCCTTCCTCCTGCTCAATGGCTCACTGGGCCTTCTTCCCCTTTGTCACCTCATCCTTGCTGCCTTCCTCTTCCTCCCCTGAAACAATCCTTTCTTGTTCTTCACTGAATTCTTACAAATTCTGATCTGAATATCGTTTCCATGGGAAAACCCTCCAGCAATACTCTCAATACACAAAATTAGGTTTCTATTACCATTTTAGTAGGAACTTGTGTTGTCTCCCTGAATGCCTTCTGTGCCTGTATGTGTTTTTTTTTGTTGTTGTTGTTGTTGTTTAATGTTTGTTTGTGTTCTGTCTGATTCTCTCCGTAGACTTCATGAGGCAGGAATGAGATTATATCCTGTCACAAGATGCCCCTCAGAACCTCAGTACCTAGATGCACCTATGCTTAACAGGAAATTTGTACTTTTAAAAATGATGAGTTAGTACACAAGCCTTGGCCCAAAATATAATTATAATTTATAATAGATCCACTGTAAATCCTGAAGTATAATTAGATCTATTTATGATTAAAATTTCCTAAATAAAGGTGCTTCTCCTTTGTGCACATTTTGATAATCTTCCCATGGGCAGGAGAGTAGACTCCCCTTAATGGTGTCTGTTCTCAGTGTGGTTCTCAGCTCTTTCATCCATGTTTTCTATTGCTGTACATGCTATGTCATGTCTGATCCTTCAGAAAGCTATGCACTTTGAGAGAGCAGGAAACAGACAACTATTTTTGAAATTTCAATGGTTCATTAATAATATGATATATATCAAGTGCTTAATAAATGTCTCATGTCAACAAATAAGTGAAACTAAGCTATCAGAAATTTGCAGTTTTTTTCAGAAAATATAGTAATATAAAGTACTTTTTAAACAAATATCAAATTATAGAATTTATACCTATCAAAATATTTTTAATCCATACTATTTTATCAAAATTTCCTTCTGGCCTTTTGTTATAATACTAAAACTACAAGAAGGCAAGTAACAGACTTTGCTAGTCAATCCAAAGAGCAAACATTTTTCAATAACTTACATTAAAAATACATAAAGGCTCAGTAATTATACTAAAGGGAAAGAGCATACTGTCTGCCTAGAAATCCGTGCTTTTTTCAAGCTCAGTTACTGTGGATAGGGGTGAAAAGTGGTGATAAAGTTTTTTAATCTCCATATAAAAATTGATAAATAAATTATATGGAATCCCTAAATCTTCAACAGATTTTTAAAAAAATAAAAATATAAACTAAAAACAAACTACTGTACCTGTTGTGAGCCACTAAAATTTGTTGAATTGGAAACTGAATTATTTGCATAAATAGTAGATGATGGTGCAAAACTGGAACCTAGAAAGAAAGAAGAAATTGCATTTTAAAAGCTTCCATAATCATTCGGTTACTTGTGGTAGCATGGATGGAACTGGGGGATACTGTGTTAAGTGAAACAAGCCAGGCACAGAAAGATGGACCACACACAGATATGGGTGGTCATATATATGGTCCCAGTAAGGTGATCTCATAGAAGCTGAGAGAACAGTGGTTAGCATAGTCTGGGGAGAAGAGGGTGTAGGATAGGGAGACATTAGTTAACGGTTTCTAGACAACAGATGAAATAAGCTCTGATGTTCTATTGCACAACAGGTTGACCATAGAAGATAATTTACAATAATACACTCTGCAAGATAACTAGAAGAAAGAGTTTTGAACATCTTACCCAAAAAGAAATTATGAATGCTTGAGGGGATACATATATTTCTCTTGAATTCAAATTGCATACTATATTAATACATATTTGTCAAAATATCAGATGGCAAATACGTGCAGTTTTTGTGTAAATTACAAAATAAAAATTCCATTCTATCAATAAAAAGTTTTTTTCCAAAGTGATTAAAAATATATGACTTTTCAGAATTCAGTGAGAAAGACATACTTGAATTTTGTTGTAAAGTCAGTGAAATTTTTGAAAGATGTGCTCCTAACAGCAGGAAAAGCCTTTCGAAAGGAATTTGTTAGGCCCTCTTCCCAGCCCCTGCATCATGAATCATTTTGCATCACTAACTTAGGTAGACATAAAGCTTGGGACTGCCAGGCCTGGTGGCTGGCTTTCAGGTTGCTTTGCTTGGCCTTGGTTTCCAGCCCATGCTATGCAGCTTAAACTGAAGTTCTTATATTTAGTATGAGTCATGTTTCTGGACCTTATTTAAATACTTTTATCATGCTTCACTTAATTCTTTTTTCTTTTTTTTTAAGAAATTGTGTGAACCATGGTAAAATTGAAAATTGCCTTCATGGCTAAATATTCTTAAGTTTGAAGTCATGGAATGCCATTTAAAGAATCCGCCATTATGGAACATGTTTCATGGGAGGCTACTTACCTGGCATTTGGTAAGAATAAGGTGTCTGGCCTGGTTGTGGGGTAGAAAACCCAGGGCTGTAACTGAGGCAGCCACTCTGTAATGGGGACTGAGTTTGGGAAAGCCCACTCTCTGTCTTGATGGCTGGTAACATCACACCCAGATCTGTTTAGAAAACATGTAAACCATTTATTTGATTAGTAAGATGATCTTGTTCTCAACTGGAAAATGTAAAGGAACCAGTCAGCAGAATGACCTGCTTAACACCAAAGAAAGAGACGATAGATGTGACCTACCATAAGTAGGCAGGCTGTAGGGCTGTCCTGTCTGTGAGTAGGCTGTGTAAACGGCTGGCTGCTGCATCCCCGAATACTGAGTCTGGCCTGCATAGGCAGACATTGTTTGAGCTGCTGGTGTAGAAAGAATGTGTGGATAGGGCCTAAATATCAGAAAAATAGCATTACTGTGGCAACAAAGACTTCATATTAATTCAGACAGTTTAGATTCAGTGAATTCCTATAATAACCCGGAAGTAATCCTCCTCTTCATCCACAACTTAATTCATGATATGGAAAAAAAATAAGAGTTCGAATGGCTCTGGATAAATAATTTCAAGTTTCTCAGAAAACATCTCACATATAAAATAAGCAGTTGGGTTTGATGTTGTATTTACAGTGCTGTATGGGTCTATATTTCTTATTACACTTACAATAGCACTATATTTAATGACAGATCGAAAACAGTGGATAATAGGCTCATTGATTAATAAGTTCATAGCATACATGCACTCAGCATGAGTGGCCAAGTACTATACATTAATTGTCTATTTAACAACCCTTACAAGAATTCACTACTCAAAGTTGGAAATTTGAAGAAAAGAAAGGAAGGAAGAAAGAAAGAAAGAAAGAAAGAAAGAAAGAAAGAAAGAGAAAGAAAGACAGAAGTGAAAAGAGAACAATCTTCCTGAAAAGAAGGTTATGCCATTTCTTTCACCAGGTCACATTTTGTATGTCCCCAAATGGATATCCAGTCCTTAGCCTCTACACAAGGCATTCTAGATGTGGCACAACACAGCATGTTATGTCTTGGTGTATATGTTTTGGGAAACTTGAGTCTCATCATATCTGCCAAATTCACAAGTAAATTTGGATACATACCCAATATAGTTCAATTCGAAATATCTTTCACTGTCCTCAAGAAAGATGATAATACTAGTTACAAAAACAATATAATATGCTATCCAAATCTATGTTTATTATCACTTGAAAACCAATAAAATATTTCAGGATGGAATGAACTGTGAAGTGTTGATGTTTGGATAAAATATGATCTTTTTACATATATTCTTTTAAGCAGTCAGTATTTTTGAATTTTCATTAAAAATAGTATATAAACATAAAATTCTGAATTCAGTGCATATTCATTAAAATATACAAGTAATTTTTTAGTCATGCTATTTTGAAAATCAGAATATATAGAACAAAGATTTCTACTTATTTTCAGGATAGCATAAGAATCATTACATAAAAATCAAAAATCAAAAAACAGAAAATAAACACAAAAATCAAATAAATCATTAAAAATGAAAGCAAACCTTGTATTGAGGAAACCCCATATTTTTAAACAAAATTCAAACTAATGCATCAAATGATTTTAATAAAAAAGCAACTATAATATTCAAGTGTCCTAGTTTGAATGGTTGTGAGATTTTATTCTTTTACATGTTTTTGTCAGAGTGTGAAAGTATAAGAACAAAAGGCATCGTTGGATAAATGCGATGTTTCTTTTTTTTTTTTTTTAAATTCATGTAAGATAGCTCTTACGTGTCCAATCTATCTAAATGTACTTTTAAACATAATAGTTATATATATGTTTTCCAACTTAAAGTTGCTATATCATATGAATATCGGTCAGCAAGTGTAATTTCAGAAATTTTCTCTAACAAACCTGAATCTACTTGAGCACTTACTTGGAAGGATACAGCTGTGGGGAATACTGGTGCGCTGAGCGTGGGCTGTAACCACTACTTGTTATTACTGTAAGACAAAAGAAAAAGCAATGCACAAAACATTGCTTCATAAACACATTTTCACTAGCATGTATGCAACCAATCTAAAGAAACTGCAGATTAAATACATATTTCTTAAAATTAATTCTCTTAAAAAATTCACTTTGTAAAAGAGGACTCTGCTAATTTGATTATGCTTAACAATATTTTTTTAAATAGCAGATAGTTTTAAAATGTTTTTTTTGGTCAGTATTATAAAAGAACATTAAAACATTAAAGATAACTTATGTAGTTTCTCAGTGCATAATAAAATGTAACTATGTGCCATTGCTATTTAATATTACCATTTGATTTTCTTTTTACTATTAACCATTATATTTGACTAATAAAAACCTGGCTTAAAAAATTCATTTTGTATAAAAAAAAACGGTTAATCATCTTCAATTACATGAGTGCTTAAAACTCACAGTCGAAAATGTTCTAGTAATAAGAATGTACATAGAAAACGTGATAACACACTTTAAATATTATAAAAATGTTACAGCAATTATATTTACAAGTATATTTTGAACTATCAAAGATAATGCTTTTCTGAGAAGAACTTAATAATGAGAGTCAGGTTATTTAAATATTTCACTCAAGTATGCACCCCGAACTAGAATACATCCAAGAGTTTGGAAGTTTTTCTCTCCTTTAGCCATCTGCCTTGACTGTGACAGATGTATTGCAAATATATTGCATCTAAAGTGTTGAGCCAGCCCCCTCGGAGCCAATCCATAGCGGGCAAGCACACAGTGCGTCTTTATTAGGCCATCTGCTGTTCATTCACTTTTCAAAAAGATTAAAGTAGTACACAACACAGTGCTGGAATTAGTTTAGTCTAATCAATCATGGTTATACTTCAAAGTACTACGCCCTTTCTACGTTGTTCATAAGAATTCTGGAACTAAACTTTTCGAATTGTAAAAAGTGACAAATAGGTTTAAGTTGCTGACTATTTTATGCAATATGATATATTACTATATCCAAACGTTATCAAGCACTCCTGTGATCTATTGCTTCATAAACATGCAGAATGTAATGTGTTTAAAAGACTATTTGCTGGTCAGGGTAGCATATGGAAAGCATGTTTTAATAAAGCATATGTTCCCAAATATTATGAATCAATTTTGAAATTAATCAAATATGACTACAAGTGTTATGTTCTAAATATTTTTGGGAACAAAATCTAAGTGAATTTCCCACATATATTTGGAAGTAACTGGGAAATAAAAAAATTATTGCTCACTTATTTTTTCAAAAACTTAAAAGAATTTCTCAAACTTGAAATCAGTCTAACAAGAACAGAGTTTTGTACTGTGACCCATGGACACTAACTGAACATTATACAAGAGTGTTATTGTACAAGAAGTGAAATCTAACTTAATAATTCACAACAATGACTATTTTAATAGAAATCTGGTTAAGTGAGGCTTAATTCTGGTTTGCTTTTTTCTGTTTTGATGGGACTCCATCTTGGCACAGTCAAAACCTGAGCTGTGCATACTAAAGCTATCCTCAAGATTGAAGAATGGAACATTTTCAAAAAAGGCATTGAACAACAAAAAGAAACATTCACTTTTAATAGCTTTTATTAAATGAGAGAGCAGCATTCTATATTTTGGAAAGCCCCCCCCCACAAACACGAACACCAACATGAACATACAGAATGTGTTTTCCTTGAATGAATGCATCTAGACCTTGTTAGAATAATGTGCTCCAAACACTATAAAGGCACAATTGACCTTTAACATTTTATACTAATACCTATAAAATAGGTAGAAGGCAAAACCTTTGGCTTAGAAAACTAAGATGGTTATGAGAGGAATGAGACTTTTTATTTACTAAAATTTATAATTTTGTTCAAACTCATAAATTTCTAGAAAACTAGAAAGAACAACAAAATAGAATTATTGTGAGTTGTGGTGCTGCTGACCAAGTGTCCCGACCTCTCCAGAAACATGTGTGGAATGTTATGTGGAAATATGGAAAACGTTTGTATCATTCCCGATTGGTATTTAATGACTCATAGATGCTCCCCAAAGCACTCAACTCCCTATACTTTATCACTTCTACAAACAAAAGAAAGCAAAAATTAATTAGCTACAGAATGTCATTAGAAGTAATTTTAGATCTTTTAACGTCTGTTAGCAGTTTCTTAAAATATGGCTTGAAGAAATGTTAAGGTTTTACTCTATTATCATGATATTTTAAATTAGTGACTCTCAGTCAGAAGAGAAATGGTGGGGGTATTTGGCCTGGTAGGAGATATTTTAGGTGCCACATTCGGGGTACTACTGGCATTTGGGGAAGATGCAGGATGCTGAGGACTATCTTACAATGCAGCCTTAGCTCTCTCAGGATAAAGAATAATTAAAGCTGTTGTGGATAAGCCCTGCCCTAGATGCCAGCTGTCTGTTCTGCACCTGAAGTTACTCACTCTGGTAGCCACTAAACCATTGTGCTGGAATTAAGTCCTTGAAATGTGGCTAGTTCAACCGGAAACAAAAACATTGTCATCTCACCCAGTACTAATTGCTTGAAATTTAAATATTCATATATGGCAAATGCCTAATTTAATTGGACCATGGTACCGTAGAAAGTTCTTAAAAGAAAACTTGGAAAATATCTTTCAGGTAGTGTGAGTGATTTACGTAAAGAATGATTGCCTGCACCTATTCTTGCTCTGTCATCATATTTTCCAGTATAGTTACACTGAAAAAGCCCAAGCCTGCTTATTGTACATGGTTCTAGACTCTTTTCTACTGACCAGCTGTGAGGTCTTGGCTATGACGCCAGAATACCTTTGACTTCTCTGTGAACTCCAGTATTCTCATCTGCAAAATCGACTGCAGAAATAAAATTTCATATGGAACTAAGAATTTGTATTTTTTGCCATTCATCTTTTAAAGAACTTGTATATTCTTTTTTATTTATTGGTTTTTATTTTTTATGTGGATGTGTGTATTGTCTGTATGTAAGTAAATGCACCTGTGTCATGCAATGCGCATGGAGGTCAGGAGAGGGCATTGGATCCCATGGAATGGGAGTTATGGATGGTTGTTAGCTGCCATATGGGTGCTGGGAATCGAACCTGGGTCATCTGCAGGAGCAGTTAGTGCTCTTAACCACTGGGTCATCTCTCCAGACCAGATCTTGTATATTTGTGAAGCATAAGAGCAACTACTTAATAATCCCACACCTTTTCTTTAAAACTTAATCATATATGCTTAATTTGCAGAAAGTTTATAGGAGTTTTGAAAAGTGAGCACTACAAAATAACGTAGTATGTCGATGTCCATTCCTCTCCTGTGAGGCAGGGTGTTTGCTAGAAAGGGCATAGATGAGCACGCACAAATCTCTACACCAAGTGGTATACTAGCACTCATTTCTGTTTGAACTATTAATATTTATATGGATTCACAACTGCTTCCAATTGGTGTGAACTAATAAAACTGGATCATCTGTCCCATAGAAAATGGAATATATGCCATAATACTTACTACATTAGACTCAAAGACATACCTCAACTCTTTTTATATAAAACATACCCACATAAAATCCTTGCACAGGAGAACATGGAAAAACATAAAATATATTAAATCAGACTTCCAGAATCAAGATTTAATTGCTGTAATACTTTTCTAGATTTCATGTTAATCTCTGGGATATATACATTCCTTCTTGGGTTTGAAAATTTTTTTTCACCAGATAATAAGCCAAACAAAATATTACAATATCAAAAAGTCTTTAAGTCAACCTAATTTGTAGCCTTTGTGCCCAGCTGGGAGTTATCAGATATTTCTATTTAAAAAGGATTGATGTTTAAAGACGTACTATTGTTCTCTTTGAAGCACAGGACTGCTCTCCCAGGCTGCGTTCTAATGTAACCAGCATGTGTTCTCCTGAAATCCATTAACCTTTACTACTTGTCACTCAGCTGCCTACACAGGAGGACTTTCTTAAACCCAGGGAGGAAACAAGGTTATTCAGGAGGAATCAAATGGATAGTTTTACATCTAGAATGGTGGACATAAGGCAGGTTTTAATGTAATTTAAGTGGGCAAGTTGAAGGAACAAAGTTAGCTATTATGGACCTAATTATTAAATTAATCAAGCACTGTATAAAATACTGAAGGAGGTTGGCTCTGCTTATCGCTAATGAGAAAGTCATGGGATTGCTTCAGTGCAGGCTGAAAATCTGGCAAAAGGATTTCAAACATAATTCCTAAAGCACATGATTTTGAGACAATTAGTTCTTCAGAAAAGTGAATTTATGGCTAACTTTATAAAAAGAAAAGTTCTAACAGCTTTGATGTTTGTGCTGCTGTTCTCAAAGAGGAGGACATGTAAGCACCCCAGTGTGGATACAGCGACACATGAGCTAAAGGCTTTACCTGACCCAGTAAAAGTGTCAAGCGCTCCATCTCCAGTCGTGGCTGTGGGTTCACTGCTGTTCAAGGGCTCTGTTTTGACTGCAAGAAGAGACACTACGTGGAAGAATAAGTACATGTGAGTTTTACTTCTAAATTTATATCAAAGATCCTGACTGCCAGTGATTTTTTTTTTTTTTTCTAGCTATCATGGGCATGCAAGAGAAAACTTGAGAAACTGATGAGGAAAGTTTGGTTAATTTAGCTTCTAAACGGGCATGCATTTATAGAGGATTTATCCTAAAATCCTCTGACTAAGCTGGTTCTTGGAGTCTGGCTTTTAAAGGTAGTCAACCTTAAAAGGTAAAACAGCAGTACGTATATTTGCATTTTAACTCTCTTAAGCACACTCTCACACAGTCCACAGACAAAAAGAGAAACCATCAATGTCTTCAGCACATTTAATCCAAATCCAAAACAAAGATTTACAAATTTAGGTTTTATTATTCTCAAGAAACTATTTACAAAGAAGAATGCATTAGAGTCCAGTGGAGGCACATACAAATAGAGACACCATGAGCCCAGGCTCACGATGGGTGAAAAATAAGGCAGTCACTAAACCTTCTGATCTAAAAATAACCAAGGCATCTTTAAGTGTCGGGCCATTTATATTTAATGCCATAACAATTTTTGATGTTATGGAGATAATCACTAAATAAGAGATAATGTCTGCAAAATAATCTTCATCAAAATCTTATAACATGTTATTTTGACAAAATTCTCCCTTAGCACTGAAGCAGGCTGGCACACGCTGTTGTCATGACCACACGCAACAGGAAGGACACTGACAAAACATCTACCCATTTGGTCACACCATGTTTTCCCTTTGTTGGCAAAACCCTACCACATACATATCACAGCAGTAAGGAAATACATTATTTTTCTACTTAACACCTCTTGTGTTTCCTGGTGGTAAGTGAAATGGTACAGGTAAACAACTTAAAAGCAAGCAGAACACTTTAAAGTATAAAGTTGAATACTAACCTACCATGAACTAGGATGCCAAAACAGAATAGTGGGATCATATGGCACCCACCAACCAAGCCAAGTCAGGAATGTTTCTCTGGTAAAGAAGCAATTAACTCATGTAAAGCATGCAATCACGATTGTGTTCTTCTTATGTAAGTAGAGCTAGCTAGACCTTCACTGAGATGTGGCTTAGCATCCACAATTTAATAATCATATGAGTTACTAGAAGATTCAGAGAATGTAAAAGTTGGGAAGAGGAAGTTATAAACAAACCCTGAATTACTCTTGCAAAAGGAAAATTTAAGATTGCTATTTTTCAATAGCAACAATAATCTGTGTAGTCTAATTATTTGCATAATAATAAATTGGTGGTTACTACTTTCAGGAATTTATGTGGTCACATAACCATTGATATGCCTTTAATTATATTTGCCACTACAAAATTGTAACTACAAGCTTATTTATTATCCATTCAGAGCTGACAATGTATTAGAACATGTGAATCCTTAATGAAACCCCATGGACACAAATCTCTATCTCTTTAAGCAAACTGAAGTTGGATGTATAGTGGGTCTTTATAATACGATTCAGTGCAGGAGATGGCAGTGCAAGAATTTGAACTCTGATCCTTAGCTTTAATGTTTATGGTCTTTGTACCATAACAGGCTGTGTGAAAATTTATATACGGACAGTGGCTCTTCACCGATGTTTAGAATGATAAGAATGTGGTTCCCTTCCAGTCAGTGATTTAAAACACTTTATTAAAACTGAAAACTGTAAATATCAGAATAGGCTACTAAGCTACGGTACTCATGTTTTCTTCATGGAATGTTTTTTTCAAAAGACAACAAGAAGTATGAAAGTGGAAAGTGGATAAAAAAGCACACTTTTAAAAGGCGATTAACACATTTCAAACTCTCCTCACATAAAGTGGAGTCAAGATAATATTATTATCTTTTTGCTTCAGTGAGAAGTCTGAGGTACAAAATGGTGAAAGAACTTGCCCTGGTCATATTACTGTGAGAGATAGAATTTGACACCAGGTGGTGAATTTTCAGGGTCCATTTTCTATACTGTCTAGCCTTTCAGACAGCACCAATTAATCAAAATTTCCTTCCATCTGCATATAGATAATCCGGAGAATAATCTAGATGGGTGTGAAGGCTACTCTGTATGATGCAAGGCTCACATTTTACTTCTGACACTTCTGACAAAAAACACAGTCCAAAGCTATCTGCAACATCAAAACAAAAGGCGCTTCTTAGAACTTCCAAATTCTAATATGGCTAAGTTCCTATTTAAACATGTCTATACCTATAAACAATATTTGTAAAACAGATTTATCATACTACTAATAATGTTTAACTTGTAATGGGAGGGGACCAGAAGGTGAGTTACGCCCAACAAAACTGTTCTGGAGGCCAGACATGAAGATCAGATTTTCACTTTGGATTCCAACCTTGAGACTTGATTTAAACATAACTCAGAGTTGGTTTTGATTATTATTTCCTGAAATTGAAAGTTGTAGGCAGCCAAAAGGAGAAAGAAGAATAGAAAGAGAGGTTTGGTCTCATTCATTATACTGGTAACATCTTTCATTAATTTTAAAGGTCTGTATGGACAAAGGTGGTTTGTTTTACTGAGAAAAGCCATCACTGGAAACTGAAAAGAAATGTAAGATCTCAAGAGATGGTCAGTATACTAAAATGACTGGATTTTAAGCAGCAAGGCAATAAAATCGATGCTAACATTTGGAGAGAAAAGGTATGCATTAATGTCAAATCATTTTTCCCTTGTAGGTAATGTAGAACAGAAAGGGGAGGCCAGTGGCCATGCAGCCTGGACGCTGTCTGATCTTGGCACCTAAGACTGAGCCTGGTTAGTTCCTGACTGGGAAGAAATCAATGACGTTGGCAGTGTTAGATAAATTCTTTTCACATTTAATGGACATTAGCATATCACTTGACTTACAAGCAAGGTACTGAGTTATTTCAGCTTTATTCTTCGAGGAAAATAATATGAAATAACTAAAGCTAACAACTTTTTCTTCATGGCAAAAAAATGCAAAGAGAAATCATACTTCTCAAGTCATTAGAATTGTTATAAAAATGGTGAGACTGTTGCTAGGTTGATCAGGTTCCAGTGGATGAATCTGTAGTGAGGGCATATGGGGACATGTTTCACTTTATTCTATTCTCTCTCTCTCTCTCTCTCTCTCTCTCTCTCTCTCTCTCTCACTGGAAAAATGAGCAGTAAACCCCAATCTTATCTAAAGGAATGTTGAGAACATGAAAATGAAAATTGGTGGGGGGATAGTGGGAGCATGCAGATGGGGGAGGGGCCCTAAATTTGATTAAAATAGGTTGCATGAAATTTACAAAAAATTCAAAAAAGAGGAAAAAGGTATTAGAATATAAATATCATTTTGATACTATAAAATAGGTGAAATAACATATACAGTATGCCAAATTCATAGCTGATACTTGACGGTGGAAGTCATGTTCACTGGCATTCCTACATACCCGTCATGCACTCCTTTCTTCTTTTGTAGTGTCATTGCTTTCACACTTTCAGTTACTTACAATTCAAACCGCTATTTGCAAACTGTACAGAAGTTTTTTAAAAATTAAACATGACCTGGGCATGGTGGTGCCTGCCTTTAATTCCAGCCCTCAGGAGGCAGAGGCAGGTGGCTCTCTGTGAGATCCAGATCAACTTGGTCTACATACTGAGTTCCAGGCCAGTCAGGACTACAGGGAGACCCTTCTCAAAATAAACAAATAAATTAATCAAATATGTCCGTAGCACTATTAAGAAGATTCATTAACAAAATGAATCATGGCATTTTCTCATTTACCAAAACTTATAAAAATCATCCCAATTTAGCACAACTCATTAAATGCTCAAATATATTTTAAGCCACGTGTTAATTTTCTAAATAAACATATATCAAATAAGGATTTTTAATCTGTTTCCAGGATAGTATCCATACATACTAAAAAATTGAAGTAAAACAACCTTGTGTAGAAAATCTCAAAATTTTCAACAAAATCCACACTTGTGCTTCAAATGCTTTGAATTAAAAAAGAATAATCATGTTGCAATGTTCTAGTTTGAAGAGTTTTGAGGCTCTCCTCTTCTACATGTTCAAAATAAAGTGAGTCTTGGTTCATGTCTATAAAACTGGGATAAAGAGCACTTTGCTCAGAACTGTTAAGCTAAGAAATACATAATTGTCAATCCAGCCACTGTCACTAGTAATACGTGCTTTTCACAGAGCCAAACAGTAAAATTGTGCATGCATGTGTGTGTGTGTGTGTGTGTGTGTGTGTGTGTGTGTGTGCAGAATGGATGTGACTATTGTCAGGGTCACTTAAGGCCTCTAAATAGTCACTTTACATCCCTATTTCTATTATTATTCTCATCCCATAATTTCAAAGCAGACTTTTCTTGTCTTCTTAGTTTATCTTTAGAGCTCAGGTTGAACAGTAATGTGTTGTTATTGTTGTTTTGGAGAAATTCCATCTTATTTTTATAACTCAAAGCTGATGCTCATTTGTTACTACCAGGCTTAGTCTTCAAAAGGCAGCCTAAGTAATATACATGTGACATTTCATCTTCAGAACTCTGTGCTTAAACTGATCTGTATGTAATCACACACACTTCACTCTCAACCATGGCAGTCGCACACAGTAAGTAACTTTTGACAGCTTATTTTCTGCAAAGAATCTCAGGATGGGCTCTATTGAGTTTAGAGTTTGGAACAGCACAGGGAGGCAATAAGCATCATCTACTGGCTTTAAGAATCATTACAGCATAGAGTTTATGTTTGTTTGTATCAATGTATTCATTCAAAGCTGTGTGCACACTTGTTAACGTCTTTCACTCCTAATTATATAATCAATATTTAATTTTTTGAAAGAATTTGATGAAGCAATTTATGACTACCATTCCAATAAGAAAATATAAAAGGAGGAGAGTTCAGTAGTAGGTGACTCTTCTGCCCAAATAAATAACATTCAGAAACAAACTCATGGCATGTGACTTAATCATCTACATCCTGGCAGATTCTTTGATATAGCAATTTC